ATAGAACAAAATGATAATACTGCGAAGGTAAAAAAAGCCTTCAGGTTAGAATACCAATATGGAACTAGAGAAGGACAGTGGCTAGTTCTAACATGATTCCCGGTCTCATCTGCCCCGGCCGGTTGATCCCATTTTAGTTAGGCAAGCCTGGTGTGAATCACACGGAGGCGATTTTAGAATTAATTGACAGGATCCGTATCCATTAATAGGTTTGTAATATGAACTTTTTATGTTGATCTCCTACATAATTGTAAGTTATACTCCGCCTTATATTTCGTTAAATTATCAAGTTTACGTAACAAGTGCAAGCGAAATCCTAATTGACTGCCATGTTGGAAACTTCCTCAATCTTTCCGATATAGGTCAGACGTCTAAATATGGGTGTCATGACCAAATATGGAAATTGTAGTAAACATGACCGCATCAGTATACGTAGTAATACTATATTTGGCCGTGAAGGCCATATAAGGAAACGGATAACATCACGCGTGATCTAACATGGCCGTCGTTTCTTTTTTTAGAGTTTTTAGTAAGGATTTGTTATTTTAACGATGAATGAATATGCAATATTTTGATAACATTATAATCATATGAAGAGTGAATCAGATATATTATTACTGATTAGCACTTTTGATTATCCTCAGTTAGTTGGAACAGGACCACTTCATAGCTCTGACCACGCAATATATAATTGTAAACAGGGACGTAAATGTCACCAATTTTAGCCAATCACAGGACAATATTTCCGTGTAAAGGGTTAATCCAGCGACAGTTCCAAGAGTAAATACGAAGTTTTAGAAGGATACTTAGTTCTAACTAAGAATAAGATTATATCCAATGACGTTTGAGTGAACTTGAGTCCGTGGTAATGGATTTTATTTGCAGTTTGTTTAGTATTACTAGAAGGTGACGTTATGTCTCGTTTATGAATATCTGAGCTCATTAACTGAAGTATTTTTACCGGAAGTTGCGTGTAGCATGCATGACCTACATTCAAGTAGCAGTTCCCGATTGAGATAAACAGGGTGCATTTTCAATAAGTTTGTTTGTTTGTTTGTTTGATTTTGTTTAACGTCCTATTAACAGCTAAGGTCATTTAAGGACGGCCTCCCCTGTGTGCAAGATGCATGCATGTAGTGTATGTGTGTGTATTTTGGGAGGCTGCGATATTTTCAATAAGAATACGACGTTGTGATAAGATCATATGTTCTATAAAGAAAAGTAATGATATTTACAAGCCATTCAAGTGCATTTGAGTCCAAAATTACGCATAATAAAGACAGTAGGTCCGGTATATGATTCAATTTAGTACCAGTGACTACCGCTAGAGGCCGTCCGTGTGAAATCGACATTTATGAATATCTGAGCTCATTAACTAAAGTAATACCAATAGCTGGCGGCTAACGCCTTAGCTAAAAACCACCTTATTCAATATCTAGCATTTCTGATTCTAAACAAGGAAAATGAAGAAATTTTATTTTAGCACACAGACTCCATTGGGCCCCACCCTACAGCCCTTGGGGGTAGGGATGGCTCAAAATTTACAAAGTATCAAACTGTCAACTTAGGGTTATAATTCCAATCAAGTTATCAACATGTAATATTCAAAGTATCATTTGCCATTATAAACCATAACAAGTTTTGAAATTAGCATTTGTGTAACTTACATATGATATACATAAAGTAGATGTTTGCCTTCAAAATCAAGGAAATATTAAAATACTATGTATGTTATATAGATTTATGGCCTATATACTGATGTTATGCTTATATTGCACTCAGGCCCCTGAATAATATCAATTCATGTGTCGATGTGCATTGGATTTTTTATTTTAAATATACAATTTACAAATGCAAGATTACTAAATTAACGAGTACAATTTCATAAACAAATCAAAGGATTCAAATTAAATGTAAATGTATCAACCCCTGTCTATATATGTATACAAATGTTTACTGTTGTTACTTTATTTAATTTCAGTTTGTTTGTTTGTTTGTTTGATTTTGTTTAACGTCCTATTAACAGCTAAGGTCATTTAAGGACGGCCTCCCCTGCGTGCAAGATGCATGTGTGTAGTGTATGTGTGTGTATTTTGGGAGGCTGCGATATGTTCGTGTTTGTCTTCTTGTAATAGCGCGGAACTGATGCCGACTTTATAGTGCTACCTCACTGAAACATACTGCCGAAGACACCCAGCAGGACACCCCACCCGGTCACATTATACTAACAACGGGCGAACCAGTCGTCCCACTCCTAATTTGCTGAGCGTTAAGCAGGAGTAGAAACTGCCATTTTTAAAGACTTTGGTATGTCTCGGCCAGGGGACAGAACCCAAAGCCTTCCTCACAGGGGCGAACGCTCAACAAATGGCCAAAAGTGAGGCATTGTCAAGGGAGACATTAGGAAAAAGAAAGTTATTTAGAAAGGATAGAAGAGATAGGGTCCCAAATTTAGTCGCCTCTTACGATCATGCAATTGGGGGCAGCAGGTACAATTCTTACGCCCTACCTGCAGGGCAGTGGAATCAGACAAGAGGAAAAGCAGAGACATTTTTTCGAAAGTGCTGTTCTCCCTGAACTGGTATGCAAGCAGTTTTCCAGGCCTACCCCTATAGCCATGTGCTCACTGACAGATGAACTTAGTGAACAGAGACTGAACGCAAACACATCCATGATTGTTCCTATTGACAGTGTCAATTCAGCAAACAGCATTATTTGTACTTGCAGAAAAGTCTCGTAACACAAATTTTCTCACAACAGGTCACAGTAACTGGGAAAATAGTAAACATAGACCCAGACAGCCAAACAATATCAACGAGGGCAGGCACACAGCTTATTTTGCGTAATGCTACCATTGCAGACACAATAGACCAGTGTTGTCTATCCTTGTGGGCTCCCCACATTGATGCTGTTGTCTTCAGTTCTTTTGTATAAGATCATCAACTTGGCCATCAAAGACTTGCGAAAAACAGTTCGTCTCCACCTCACCAACTTCGACATTTGAAGATGCAGAGGACTTGGAGAACGTGGTGTTCAAGTCGTTGGAACACACATTAGAAGGAGAAATCCTCCATGGTGTCGATTACGGCACATTATGCATGCAAAAACTGTAAATCCCTGTGAACACCCCAATCCTTCCTCTAACACACAAGTGCAACCACTGTTCATTTCGTCGTAAAATGAATACCACTGCAAAACAAACATTCCTCAAATTGAAATTGGAAGGAAACCCAACAACTTTCACACTGCAACCTGCCGTGACAGAGAAATTCATTCAAAATTTTCCAGAAGCCAGACATCTCTTCTGATGATTTGGAAGAGTTAAGTATCATTCTTCCAAGAGTTAAGTATCATTCTTCCAAATAAGAACAGCTAAAACTTCTTTGAACAAAACCAGCAAGCAATATACTCCTACAACCCTAATTATATGTAAACGTTCAGTTGTTGGACGCTACCCTTAAGCTAGTGTGCACTGGTGATATTTAGTTTTTTTTCTGTAGTTGGACTCCTTAAGTAATGCTTTGGCGAGATGTTTGATTGATTGATTTTGTTTAACGTCCTATTAACAGCTAAGGTCATTTAAGGACGGCCTCCCCTGGGTGCCAGATGCATGCGTGTAGTGTATGTGTGTGTATTTTGGGAGGCTGCGATATGTTCGTGTTTGTCTCCTTGTGATAGCGCGAAACTGATGCCGACTTTATAGTGCTACCTCACTGAAACATTCTGCCGAAGACACCCAGCAGGACGCCCCACCCGGTCACATTATACTGACAACGGGCGAACCAGTCGTCCCACTCCTAATTTGCTGAGCGTTAAGCAGGAGTATAAACTACCATTTTTAAAGACTTTGGTATGTCTCGGCCAGGGGACAGAACCCAAAGCCTTCCTCACAGGGGCGAACGCTCAACAAATGGCCAAAAGTGAGGCATTGTCAAGGGAGACATTAGGAAGAAGAGAGTTATATAGAAAGGAGAGAAGAGGTAAGGTCCCAAATTTAGTCGCCTCTTACGATCATGCAATTGGGGGCAGCAGGTACAATTCTTACGCCCTACCTGCAGGGTATTAATTGGTCTGAAGTAAAACCGGACTCTGTACGCAAAACTTCAGGCAAATGGAGTAGTGTTCAGAGATACTGCTATCAAAAGCACCTGCAAAGGCATTCATAAAATGCACAAAGGGACATACTGGATACTATGCGAGTGAACGTTGTGTGATCAAAGGAACGTAGCAAAACAACAGGGTCATATCCAATGGAGACTTTCCTGAAAGAACTGACACAAAATTTGAAAGTTGTGAATACACTGACCAACAGATTGGTATTTCACCCTTAGCTGAAGCTAAATGTCCATGTGCAACAGGCTTCTGTTTGGACTAAATGCACCAAGTTTGTCTTGGAATTGTGAAATGAATTGTTTTCTTTTTCAAACATGGTCCTGCAACATGTAAGCTGGTAAGCTGTCACAGCGGCATATAGGAAAACATTCTTCAAGTCTTGTTAGCTTTTCTGGGAAACTGCCATCAGAGTTTGCGAGACAACCTCGACCAATCACGGAACATGAACGATGGAAGGCAACGGAATTCCGTCAATTTCTTCTGTACACCGGACCTGTCGTGTTGAAAGGAATTCTTCACAAAACTGCTTATCGTCACTTTCTGTGTCTTACTGTAGTAGTCTCCATTCTCCTGGATTCTGATAATAAGAAGAGAGAAGCTTATTGTAGTGAATTCAGTAAGTTTAATATTGCGAGGTCAGCATCTTTAATGTTTTTCAGTACCTCCCGGAACACCTTTTCTGTTATCAATGTATTGTACCCCGTCACATGTGTGTTCCGAATAAAGAGCAGAACGTGAGCAGCCATTGATGTGTTCGGTTGTCTGTCACCGCTCCGGGAACTCGGACGAATATATTACAAACTGGCGACGAGGATAGTTGAAAAACGGACTACACATGTTCATAGAGGCTGAGCGGATTCTCCGAACTCCCGTTTGCAGTGAACAGCATGGCGCACGTTGGAAAAATTGGCGAATTTGTCGAGGGGTCTGAAAACTTCACGTGTTATGTGGAGCGCATGGAGCAGTATTTTGCCGCCAACGATATCACGGATAAGAAGGTAGCAGTATTTCTAGCCGTTATGGGGCCTCAGACTTACAGTCTTCTAAGAAATATAATGACACCTGATTTACCTAGTACGAAGACGTACGATGAAATCGTAACAGCCCTCAAAGGACATTTCATGCCAAAACCGTTAGTTATCGCGGAGAGGTTTAAGTTTCACAACCGAAGTCAGAAGGAGGGGGAAAGTGTAGCGGATTATGTAGTGGGTTTGAAAAAGCTAGCAGCTCACTGCGAGTTCGGTAACTTTCTGTCACAAGCACTGAGGGATAGGCTTGTTTGTGGGCTTCGGAGTGAGTTCATTCAGAAAAAGCTATTAGCTGAAAAAGATTTGACATTGGAAAAAGCCTGTGAAATTTCTGTTGCCATGGAGACCGCCGCGAGGAACACGACGGAAATGAAACCAGGGCATGTGCCGGGGCAAGTAAACAAAGTGTTCAAAGGACCCCGACAACAGAAACGGGATTTTAATAAGAAACCCAGGGCAGGTGAGTCGAAATCGACAACAGACAATGCAAATATTAAAAAACCATGTTATCGTTGTGGTGGAAAACATTCAGCAGATGTGTGTACGTTTAAGGACGCCAGATGTTATGCATGTTCAAAAACTGGGCATCTTGCCAAGATGTGTTTGTCTAAGAAAAAAACTGTCAAGGCTAAGTACTTACAAGAGGTCGAAGGGGCCTGTAGTGACCGAGATCTAGGAATGTTTGGAATAGTTCAAGCGTCCACCGCACGAGGCTCGACAGCTGGATACCAAGTTCATATGGAGTTAGATGGGAACTGTGTCAAGATGGAATTGGATACTGGAGCAGCTGTGAGTATTGTATCTGAAGAGCTGTACAAAAACTGTTTGACTAATTTACCCTTACAACCAACTTCAGTACAGTTGAAAACCTACAGTGGTGACAAAGTGGAGTTGTTGGGGAAGGTTGATGTACCAGTCAGGTATGGAAATCAACATGTGACTTTACCTTTGATTATAGCAAGGGGAGATAAGCCTTCCTTGCTTGGCCGGAATTGGTTGAAGACTATCAAGCTCGATTGGAAAGAGGTTTTCCGTGTTCATTCGGTATCAAAGGAACCTACCAGTCGTCCGTCAGTCGGAGTGGAGGAGCTGAAGTCCAAGTACAGTCATTTGTTCCAAAAGGATGTGGGGACAATAAAACATTTTAAGGCACATATACACATAGACCCGAGCGCGAAACCGATATTCTGTAAAGCACGACCAGTACCCTTTGCACTTAGAGAGAGTCTCGAGAAGGAACTCGACCGACTAGAGTCACAGGGAATTATAAGCAAAGTAGACCGCAGTGACTGGGCTACGCCCATCGTGATTGTTCCAAAGACGGACAAGTCTATACGGTTATGTGGTGATTTTAAAGTTACTGTCAATCAGTGTCTGGATGAGCAGCAGTACCCATTACCAAATGTTGATGACATGTTTGCACAGTTAGCAGGGGGAGAACAATTTACCAAACTTGATCTATCGCAAGCTTATCAACAGTTATTGTTGAACAGTGATTCCGAACAGTACCTGACCATCAACACCCATCTGGGGTTGTATAGATATCATAGGTTGCCGTTTGGAGTGTCCTCAGCTCCCGCGATTTTTCAAGCAGTCATGGATCAGATCTTACAGGGCTTGGATAATGTCCTGTGCAGGATTGATGATATCCTGATTACCGCCCCTACCAAGGTGAAGCATCTCGCAACACTGGAAGAAGTGTTAAAACGTCTGGACCATCATAACATCCGTTTACGGACTGATAAATGCAAGTTCATGGAAGATGAGGTTGAATACATGGGCCATATGATCAACCGAGAAGGTTCGCACCCAACCACAGCCAAAGTAGAGGCCATTAGGGAAGCACCCAGCCCAACCAATGTGACAGAGTTGAAGTCTTTTTTGGGGCTCCTGAACTATTATGGGTCATACTTACCTAGCTTGTCAACAACCTTGCAACCAATGCATGAACTCTTACAAAAAAAACAGTCATGGAAATGGACCAGTGAATGTGAGACAGCATTCCGGAAGTGTAAGGAAAGACTTTCAGAGAACACTGTGTTAGTGCATTATGATGGTAACAAACCATTGAAGCTGGCATGTGACGCGTCGGCCTACGGATTGGGTGCTGTTATATCGCACATAATGGATAATGGCGAGGAAAGACCCATCGCGTTCGCTTCGCGTACCCTGGCTCCTAGTGAAAAGAACTATGCACAAATAGAGAAAGAGGCCTTAGCACTCATCTTTGGTGTGAAGAAATTTCACAAATATCTGTATGGTCGAAGATTTACACTAGTTACAGATCATAAACCATTGACGACCATCCTGGGACCAAAAACTGGAGTGCCAACTCTGGCAGCAGCTCGCATGCAGCGCTGGGCATTGATTTTGTCTGCGTACCAGTATGACATTGTATACCGGAAGGCTGCAGAACACGGTAACGCTGATGCGTTTTCGAGATTACCGGTTCAGGGGAAGATAGAGCCCGAGGAGGCAGCCATCTTCAAATTTTCACATGCAGATGAACTTCCGGTGGAAGCCGAAGATATTAGTCGAGCAACACGGAAAGATCCGATTTTGTCGCGCGTGCTGGACTACGTTCTGAGCGGATGGCCAAACCATGTAACAGACACGGAGCTCCAACCCTACTTTCAACGCAGAGAGCAGTTGTCGACTGAGCAGGGGTGTATCCTGTGGGGACTCCGTATTATCATTCCGCCTGCGTACCGTGAACGATTACTTGCCGATCTTCATGATCAACACATAGGTATCTGTCGGATGAAAGCCTTAGCTCGTAGTTACCTATGGTGGCCAGGTCTCGATCAGGAAATTGAACAGCAAGTTAGTGCTTGTAGTGTGTGTCAGTCAGTACGGAATCTTCCTGCGACAGCACCACTCCATTCCTGGAGTTGGCCAACCCGCGTATGGCAGCGACTCCATATTGATTTTGCGGAGAAGGACCAGCAATACTTCTTAGTCCTTATCGACAGTCATTCGAAGTGGTTAGAATGTGTGGATATGTCGACCACGACATCAACCAAGACCATTGAGGTATTGCGTTCGCTGTTTGCATCATATGGTCTCCCCGAGGAGATAGTGTCCGACAACGGACCACAGTTTATCTCATCAGAGTTTGAGATGTTTTTGAGGCAGAATGGGGTAAAACACACATTGGTGGCACCCTATCACCCAGCCTCTAATGGAGCTGCTGAGCGCAGTGTGCAGATCCTGAAACGAACATTGTTAAAACAAGTATTAGATGGAGATAAGTCTCTATCAATCAAGCACAGACTGGCCAACTTTCTTATCACGTACCGCGCTACACCGCATACGGTGACTGGTGTCTCACCAGCGGAACTTTTCCTAAAGAGGCAAATGCGTACTAAACTTACCTTGCTCAAGCCTAACTTGGGAAAGCGAGTCAGCCTTCAACAGGCATTTCAAAAGAAACACCATGACAAGGGACGTGTTCGCGTTAGGACATTCTCGCGTAACCAGTCTGTACGTGTTCGAAACTTCCGTGGAGGGAAGGAAAAGTGGATCGTAGGATCTGTGGTGAAACAATTGGGACCTTTGACGTACTTGATACGTGTCGGTAGAACATTCAGGTATGTGCATGTGGACCATATCCTGGCTACGGGTGAGGAAAATGTTGAACCGTTTCAACATGATGACCAACAAATTGTGAGTTGCCCAACAACCATTCCGATTGAAGAAAATCCAATCGCGAGTGATCTTCCTGACATTAAGATTGAGGACAAACCAATGGTGAACGTTTCACCTAGTACCCCCAAGGTTATTGCAGAACCTAGTGAAATCGCGTTAACACCCGCGCGTACAAGTGTCGCGACTCCCCAACCAGAGAGACGCTATCCAGCTCGGGAACGACGAGCTCCCCATAAGCTGGACTTGTGAACTTTGTTTCGTGTAAACAGATTCCAGGAGTTAATTCTGTAAGCTAATTTGTTATGTTCAGTGAAAGTTAAGTGCTGCAGAGACTTGGTTCTATTATAGATGGAACTGTTTGAGTTCCATGTAGGGAAAGGTTTAATTGGTTTACCATTGTCTAGCTTTTGAAAATTTGTTTTAAATTCTTCAATTAGAAAGGGAGGAATGTAGTGAATTCAGTAAGTTTAATATTGCGAGGTCAGCATCTTTAATGTTTTTCAGTACCTCCCGGAACACCTTTTCTGTTATCAATGTATTGTACCCCGTCACATGTGTGTTCCGAATAAAGAGCAGAACGTGAGCAGCCATTGATGTGTTCGGTTGTCTGTCACCGCTCCGGGAACTCGGACGAATATATTACACTTATCTTTGCTATGCAGGACAATTGCTGAACTTTTTTGTAGACAATAGTCCAGATATTTACTCGGAGTCCTTCCTTGTACATGGTCTAAAACACCTTGCCAATGACGTAATGATATTCCAGTGTTCACTTAACTCAATTTCGGCATTTCCATTGGAGTATCACCTCCAGATTTTAAAACAATTAGTGAAATCTGCAAATAATCCGATTGGCCAAGTTGGAAAGCGAATATCGGCGATGAAGGACCAGGTGAGCTAATGGTGAACTTATGCCATACCGCAGCATACGTCGTCAACTTTTCCTATAAAACGCTACTGGTCCTGAACGGCCAAGTAGATTTTGACTAAATTGGTCCGGAGCATCCTTGGCCCAAGGGGACTCAATTTTGTATAAATGATGGGGTGTGGTCCCCTGGGGGCAGAACCCAATAGGGGAAATATACGTCAAACCTTTAAAATCCTTCTTCGACCATCCGGATTAAGATATTTTATTCTGATTTAGTCTGGAGTATCCTTGGAGAAAGGGGAATTTTGTATAAACGGTGGGTATGACCCCCGTGGGGCTGTTTGAAGTTTGTTCTCGCTATATCTCATTACTTCATACCAATTATTTTAAACATATTCAGGTGAGCAATACAGTCTTTACCTTTATTATGTTTTATCATTCTCACAAGTTTTAGTTTTTTTATAAACAATTTGTCAAATCCTGTCAAATCGTTATGTTTTTCTTTTCTTTTCAGAATGCTTTGGGTACGGGCGGTCTGGAAGGAAGAAGGGAGGGAACATGAAGGGACTGTTCCAAGTAATTGGATCAGAGACGAGACAGTGTATTGGCCAAATGTCAATAATGTGCTGAGAGCCATGACATTCCATGACAATAAATGCCATGTAGATTCAGTATGAACACAGTTCTAAATAGTCATTGCCTTAAAATTGCAATATTTCCTGGCTACTTCCACTGTATCAAATTGGTACATCCTGTTGAGGTACTAAAATCAGTGGGTTCCGGGTTGTTTCGCCCTAAAAAAAAACATTTTTCCATTTTCCCAAATTTATGGCGTTATCATGCACGAAATTTTAGTCAAAAATATCGCTTTTGAAAACTTCATTTCCTATTGCAGTTTACAAAATGAAATTTCAAAAATCTATATTTTCTGAGCCAATTTTGGTCCCTATCGCCCTACTCCTTCCAAAAAATTGAAATTATTTATTATTTTTAACTTAATCAATAGAATACCCCACAGGAACCTCCATGCCAAATGTAATCATCCTAGCTGGCAGGTAAAACTTGTTACATTTACACGGTAACGCTGAGATTGTACATTTTGTAGACGAAACGTCGTACGATAGATTTTTTTCAAATGACTTTCAATAAAGTCGCCCCACAATTAACATCAATCAATAAAGTCGCCCCAGAATTAACATGTGCTACGCCATCTGCAAATTTCTACCAATAAACAAAACGAATATACTGCATGCATACTGGTCCGTTTACAACATGTAGGACGAAATGACTTAAAATCCGTTATCATTTTCGGCCCATTTGGTGTGACGATGCTCGTACGACAATGCCTGAAGGCTTCCATCACTCAAAATCAGCAGGTCCGATCCAGAAAGAATATCAAAAAAGGCGGCTCATTATGGAACCCCCAGCATAATTGGGGATTTCCTTTCAGTAATGTCACGGAGGCGCAGACACAACACAAAACCATGCTGGTAGTTCCCCTCCCCCCCCTCAAACTTCATGACTATCGGAAAATGTAGTTTATACAAGACTGTTCGATAATGGAATCTTTGTCTCTTTGTCTTTTTTTATGTAAGTATAACTATAAACAATTAGCTGAAATGATCAATGAACTTTATCTACATACATTTTGTACAGTTCTCTCAAACAGAAATGAGGTTTGAACTGTCTCGCTTTCACATGTCAGTCTTTGGTGTGGAGTCACTACTCTATCAGACCGGGTAGTAAACAGGTTGGGTTTTGTGCTTAGGGCAGCATCACTGGTATTTTGAATGTTACCACCATCATTATCCATACAATCATAAAACTGTTCATTGTCCATCATGGATCACTCTCAAGATGAGGTTCATGAGGTGATGCACTTCAACAGCTCATGTCTGTTCCTACGAATCTCAGATCCAGTGTTAGTTTTGATGAGATAGGATCTTATACAAATACCTATAACAAGTCACAACTATAAAAACATATAAACTCCACAAACATTATACCTATCTAATTCAATAAAGTCTTATTCATCTCTCTCTACACATACATGATATACTAGATAATGGATATGACCCCAAGGGGCTATTTCCAACTATGTGGAAATCATTCATTTCGCAAAACAATGAACCTGGTGTAGCAAAAAGTCACCCCTGCAGATGGGGGATCGGGAGAAGAATGCACTAGCTGTTATCCACTGCAAGTATCGTAGGAGGCGACTAATGTGGGAACCCCCTGCAGAATTGGGGATTTTCTTCGGTGTCTTTAAAAGCACACAGTAGTCGAGCAGCTGATATAAGACGCTACTTGAACTGCCCGACAAATTCAAATTATAGTGTTTTTATTTTTAGCCAAAGCGTTAGCCGCAAGCTATATATGTACCTGCTGCCCCCAATTGCATGATCGTAAGAGGCGACTAAATTTGTGACCTTAAGGAAATTTAGGAATAATTAAATCTGAGTTTATCCAACAAGATTTAATTATTTATCAACAAAACATGCAGGTAGTTATATTATTTGAATCAAACTTTCCAATCATTATCAAAGCAATAAAAGATACTTAAAACAAATATATTCAAATCGACACAGGTTACTAATGCTTCAACGGCTATAAAAAGGATTCAGATGGAAATGACATATGACATCTACATCTACAAACACATCTCCCACCACCATTGATTGATTAATTGATTGATAGGTTTTACGTCCGCTTCACTACCGGATGTATCGGTTATCCAGCAGACAAAGAACAGAAAGGAAAAAGAGTAGACGGGATAAAGTATGGAATAAAGTGTAGAAGAGGGGGATAGATTAGATAAAGAGCCGTCTATCCTATATATATTAACTTGTCTAGTTTTTGTGAGACGACTTCTATGCCTAATAATGCCTTAACCTAACACTCATTGTGAAGCATCACCAATTCTGGACCGGAAGTGAGGTACTGTGCCGCCATCAGCCCCGCCTATGTTTATGAATTTTGGTTTATGTATAAAATTTGGAAGTCCTTCTAAATATCTTAATAAAGAGACCCTACCTTTAAAATTTTGAATAAATTTTTCCTATCTGTTCTTTTTCGAAAAACCCAGAGGGATTTTTTCCGTGCGAAATTTGACAGTTCTCACACGGGCCACCATTTATAGTCCCATCCGACGGACTGGTTGTTAGTGATTAGTGTCATGCATGTGCTGAGTTGTTGTTGTTTTTTTGTTGTCCGTTCATTGAATTCCTTTCTTCATCATTCTTCACCGAGTATATACTTGACTGAACTTATACCAATGTCATCTTTCTTAAATACCTCGACTTGTCTTTCACTTAATTCTGCTCCTCGTTCCGACNGGGTTGGAAGTTTGAAAGAGGAGCTGGATGTAAGAAATGTGCTGATTGATGTATGGGCTTTTTCAGATGTTAGTTGTATGGACCGGGTTGGTGTTTGGGACGATTTGTGGGAGGGGGATGGATAGGTAGTTAGAGGATACTTGGTTGTTGTTGTATTTACTTTTATGTGTATAAGATCATGTTGCCATTTGTTTTAACTTATTATAGATTGTAATTGCTTGGATAGGATGTTATACTATTATTGGCTGTGTCAGATAAACCGATATTGATTTTTAGTTAATTATTCGGTTATCCCGTTATTCCTACCTAACTAATAAGTCCATATAGCACTGTTGGCCTCCCTCCTTTACCCGCGCTAACCTTGTGGGGTTTTACGCCGAATGAGCGAGAGGACCTATATTACGGGTCGTATTATACAGTTTATAGTGGTAATACATTTTAATCCTGTTTTATATCCAACGTTTAAGCTTTGTTCAGTCTAAAAACGGCGAACCGCTTCAGATTATACATCGCTCCCCGGCGGTACATATATGTGTATTCATGTGTATGTGTTCATGTATACATATATATATAATTTGGTTATATTCGATGATTTGGCTTGTCCCTTGTTGTTGATTTAACCTTGTATCATGCGGTATTCTTTACATCCTGTGATAGGTGGTGTTTCCTTTTATAATTGCTTTCCCTTTGTTTATTTTATAATCTGCTGTTGCTGTTTTTTATTTTGATAATATTTAACAATGGCTTCCATTTCTGGGATGTGTTTTTATTGTGCTCTGTGGCTTTCCAAATTTTGTTATGTTAGTAATTGTTATGTGGATGTGTGATTACTGTGATTTGTTGCTAAATGTATTCTGTTTTCTTATACATTATTTTCTATCTGTATGGCTTAATTTATAGGTATGTTAGGTCTATATAATGGAGGTTATACTTGGGATACTTCATTCTATTTTAATCATCACGATGAAGAAGACTTTGTATTTCGGTAGCAGTTTTGTGAGGCGTTTGGGGAGATAATCGACGGCAGGGACAGGAATGCGACCTTC